GAAATCATTACAATTCCTAAAGTTTTGATTACAATTTTATTTTACTTAACTGAGGTTAGTTTATTTTTTCATTGAATAATTGGGGGAAAATTTGACTTCATACTCTGTGAACCAGACCCTAAACTTAAAGTCTGGTTGAGTTTTTTCCCCTTCATTAATGACACACATTATATCTATCATGGTAATTCAGGGTGAGTTATTTTTAATTCTAAATGAATATCCTTGTTGGACTTTTATTTAAGTGCTATTCTCCTTCAAGATACATTTACCTAACGCTAGAATAAATGCAATGTACATTATGCAGCAAAGGAAATTAGAAGATCGGACATATATCCATTATGGAGATGATAAGTTTTGGACGGGCGATGTGCCTCGTACACAGGGAAGAAGCTTTTTAGTTATCTAGCTTTGCTAGCAAAGTCGTTAGCTAGCAGCTAGCTAATAGCACATCAACAACAACCTAATGTCTGTATGATAAAAATACTGAATCGATAGATAAGAACAGTTTTTCCTCACCTGGCTGTCTCCTCCCGCTCAGTAGTTCTTCAGAGAAAGGCAGACGCAGAGGCCTGTCAGTGTCTGTTGTATTTCATTACCTCTCTGCTTAAACCGCTGAAGCAGAAACGAGACTTCAACGTTTTCCGTTATCTGACAAGCAGCAGGTCTGCTCCACTTTATTCACCAAAAACTGATCTGTAATCTAAACGTTCGCTACGTTCAGCTCCAGTTAGCCGCCTGATCTCACTGTGGAGAGGCAACTGGGTCACGGGCACAAGGTCAAAGGTCACAAGGTGACCAGAGGGCTTATTATGTTGTACAAAAAACCCAACAAAAAAACAAATAATTTTAGTACATGTTATTATGTGCCAGAAGAGGGCTTAGAAAATAATAATTCAAAAAAAATGTTTTAATTTGACCAAAAGGGCACTTGGGGGCAAGGAGCAAAAGGGGCAGGTGCTCAAGCACCCCTAGCTCCCCCACCCCCCTCTGCACGTGCTTGCTTTGCATAATTTAATAGTTTCCTCCTCAGCTATAACATCCTACTGATCAGATTTGGTGGTGCTTTACATTTTTCCTCACAAGCTGTCTTCTTCGTTCTCTTTAACTGCAGTGGGCGGTGACATTTGCTGAGCGTTCCGGCTTCTCCAACGTCCTGACTGTTTCTCACAAGATTCGTTACTGCGGCCACCGTTTCCACCTAAACGACCAGGCCTGTCACACCGTGCTGCCGCTGCTGCTCACCTCCTCCCACCACAACGCGCTGCTCACCCCTCCCTCTGCCCCCAGCAGTTTGGAAGGGGAGCAGCCCCAGTCCTTTCCTCCACCAAAAGGGCTTCCCAGGTACAGAACAGACGAATAATGCAAACAACTAATTCTTTATTTATCAGGCTGAGCGAGAAAATAGACTGCTAATCATTGTGATGCTGTAATGGAACATTTTGTGATGTGCTCCTCACCCCTCTTCTGCTTTAGGTTATCTGCATAGTCTTATCATGAGATTGGTCAAGACCTCTGCATTGTCAAGTAACAGCAGGGGAGAGCTCCTTGATCCTGGAGGCCGTCTAAGTGTTACTTCCCCCGACCCAGAACTTATCTGCCCTCTTTAGCATGGAAGAACAACTTCCTTTCCTTAACAATAGACAAATGGCCAGACCATCTGTGTTGGGCTCCGCAGAATCTTTGGTACATAACAATGAGGGATTCACACCTTTTATAGGTTCTGGTCAGAGAAGACAGACTTGATTGAAGAATAGGTGTGAATCCCTCATTGTTATGTACCAAAGATTCTGCGGAGCCCAACACAGATGGTCTGGCCATTTGTCTATTGTTAAGGAAAGGAAGTTGTTCTTCCATGCTAAAGAGGGCAGATAAGTTCTTGGTCGGGGGAAGTAACACTTAGACGGCCTCCAGGATCAAGGAGCTCTCCCCTGCTGTTACTTGACAATGCAGAGGTCTTGACCAATCTCATGATAAGACTACGCAGATAACCTAAAGCAGAAGAGGGGTGAGGAGCACATCACAAAATGTTCCATTACAGTATACCAATCTGAATATGAAGCATTTTCTTCTGTATCTCGGGATCTTCTTACATAATGAGAGCGACGCCCACAGACGAGCCCATCTCAATCATTGCTGTGTCCTCCAGATCAGAAGTGCAGAGTTTTGTTTACTGCTGCCTTTGCTTCCAGCACGTAGACTAATCAATACTGCCACTCCAGTTGCCTGAAAATGGCAAATGAAAATCCATCCTGCACTCAGAGAAACATTCTGCATGATAAGAAATAGATAGCTTTTTTTGTGCGTCAGATGAAGGCTGTGTCCAGCCAGAGCCTGATGGGTAATTTACTTTGTGTGGAAAATTCACGCATCTTTTAGTCTTTGTATGTGTTTACAAATGCAGCTTTTTTTCAAGAATAATGTAAAAATAAAAGGATAAAAAATTGAATTGTATTGACATTTTATTTTGAAAATGTCAGAACTTGTTTACTGCAACGCATCCTGAATGACGATTACAATGATTAAACTTCCTGTCTACTTGAAATATGATTTCACCTTCTACATTTGCACTGACAGGAAGCAGCTTCGCAATGCAGCTACAAGGACTTTCCACGACCCAAACGCCATTTACAGTGAGCTGATTTTGTGGCGAGTGGACCACATCGGACCCCTGTCCTGCACCGGAGGGGTCTCTGAACTGGCCCGCATCAACTCTCTGCACACGTCTGCCTTCAGCAATGTGGCTTGGCTGCCTACACTGGTACCCAGCACAGTACTTGGTAAGTGCTTCATATAAGGCTGAACGATGATGTATAGGAAATATATCATCATCAATGTGTGCAATGCTGATATTGTGAAGGACATCTAGCATTCTGCTAGATGTTATATTCATAGTAGGGATTGCATTATCAATATTTTGTCTAATTTCTAACCTGTTTTTTTTTTTATCTTTAAACAGACCAGTTGGTCTGTTCTAGTGTATGAGTTTATTTCTAACATCACTGAAAAACAAGAGTTAAAGAAGCAAAAATATATAAAATAGTAAACAGTAAATAAAATAGCTTCAATGATTTTACATTATTTACTGTGTAACAGCTGAATGTTATGTTTATAGGGAGACGTATAAACTTATTAAATCCAGTAGCTCAGCGTGAAATTTAATTTTGTTTGATGTGTCAGTAGCCATTACACTTTTCTTAAACGGTCATTAAACTTATCTCAAAATAGGATTGTTGCAAAGTTAAAAGTTGCATTATTAAATCTGTGTTTAATGAAGACGAGATCCCAGACATTTCCAGCATAATGCCAACATTTCCAAATCTAGCAATTTTCATAAATAGGCGTAATGCTTAAATGTCTTGGAACAACAGTGTTGTGCTCCTTTCAGCTGAAAGTTTCACTGACTTTTTCCCCCTAGAAGCCTGAATTAATCTCAGACGTGTCTCTCTATGCACAACATAGTTTCTCTTTTAAAGAGCTCATTGCATCTTTGCTTTCCATGATTACATTTTTAAATGCCTCAGTGTCGTTTTTTTCAGTAACAGCACGACTTGTACTTGGCATAGTACATTCACTGGTTGGAAAAGATCACATTGTTGCATTTGCAACTGTAACAATAATGTTTTTTTCTTCTTCTTCTTATATTAAAACCCAAATTTTTATTTGGCTAAAACATCAGAACTGTGTTTGACAAAAGAGTTAGATGACATCAAGATGATGTGCTTGAACAAAATAATGTCGCATATCCACCAAATATCAAGACATTCTAGACACGCATCATAGCTGCTTACTAGACATAAACATGTTTGTAGCCCCTAATATAATTCCTCTCACTTGAAATATATTTATCAGTACATAATAATGAATTAATTTGATATTATGTCGTATTTAGGTGTTGTTATGAGTCTGTGATTTGGCTATGACATTACTTGAGCTATAAACTGCGTTGTGTCTGCCAGGAACCTACTGTAACAGTGCCAGCGCCTGCTTCGTGGCATCAGACGGTAAAAACCTGCGTCTCTATCAAGCCGTTGTGGACGCCAGAAAACTACTGGATGAGCTGTCAGATCCAGAAACATCTGTGAGTGAACACGTTCATTTCTGCTCATTTGAAATATGTTGTTTCTGTCTTGAATATATGAAACCTATGAGGATATGTCTTCCAGATTTCTTTACTGTAAAGCTAAGGAGTCTGGACTTTTGTTTCTCTCATCTTTCCCGTATTTTTTTTTCTTTTTGTGAAGACTAATACGTGCTCTACATCTTTAAAACCCTCTACACCTAATTCATGCCACGCATGACAATTAGTGGAGTTCACGGCTAATCACCAAATGCTCATGCATATTTCTGTTCAGAAACTGGTGGGTGAAGTGTTCAACATTGTCAGCCAGCAGTCCACAGCCAGACCTGGATGTATCATCGAGTTGGATGTCATTACAAACCAGGTTAGCAGCTCTGCTTTCACACGCAGCTCACATCAGCGTTGCGCAGCAGTTCGTTGAAGTCCTTGTTAACCTTTCTGATCCCTCGTCTCTGTGCGTCCAGTGCGGCTCCAACACCCAGCTGCTTCATGTCTTCCAAGAGGATTTCATTTTAGGTTACAAACCTCAGAACGAATCAGAGGCTTTCACACCAGCCTTCTCGACTGGAGAAGGTAGAGGGCGACTGCAAATTTAACTGGGATGTTTTCTTTCTGTCAATTACGGTCGTTAAATACCCTTTTTTTTTTTTTTTTCTTCTTCTGCGCATGCAGATTACCAACCTGCCCCATTTTCTGAGAAGTTCTTCTTGGTGGTAATAGAGAAAGATCTTAATGGGAACTCTGTGCTGCAGATGTGGCACCTGCACCTCCAATCCGTGCAGGCCTGCGTCGGTAAGTCCAGCTTTGCAGCAAGAGATAGAAATCAGATTTATTTTGGATATTATTAACAATGAAGAATATCATATTGATATATGTAAATCTTTCCAGATGAGCCCAGCCAACCATTTAGTTTCCAGAGCCAGCTCCTGGTTCCCAGTCAGGTCGTGAATGCCGACTCGTCCCCGGAGACCTCTCCAATCAGACCCCTGCCTCGATCTGCTTCTTCAGCCAACTTGCAATCAGCAAGCAAACTTATCCTCAGCTCCAGGCTGGTGTGCAGCAAGCGACTAGACTTACCGCATGGGGTGGAAGTTACCAGGGCAACGCCATCTGCAGGTTGGCCGAAATGAATTGTTATCTTCCTTATATGACGGTTTTATTTTTGCCTTGCTGGCACAAAATGTTTCACCTTTTTTTTTTTTTTTAGCTATACTCAATTAGATTTGAACTTTTTCCATGTCATGGATAATTTGGAAAAGCATGTGTCCAGACATTTGGTTAATTTTGGTATTTAGACGAAACATTTCATAAATCATCTACTCCCTGCTCCTTCTTCCAGGTCACCTGAGCTCCTCCTCCATCTACCCCGTGTGTCTGGCTCCGTACCTGATCGTTACCACCTGCTCCGATTCTCACGTGCGCTTCTGGCGCTGCGCTGTAGAGGGCGACGACGGACACGACACGGACAACCGGGTGTACCGCTGGGAACCGTGGATCCTCATGAACGAGGAGGAGGACAACAACAGCGCAGTGTCTGTGTCGGGACGGCCTGTCGCCGTTTCCTGCTCCTACATCGGCCGGCTAGCCGTGGCCTTTAAGCAGCCGCGGCACGGACTGGTAGGATATGAGAATTGATTAATCACGATTGTCTGCAGGACTTCTACTTTTTCTCAGCCAGGATTCAAACAAAGCGTCCTTTTTGTCTTCAGCTGCACAATTCTGTGGAGGACTTCTCCATGCACGTTTCCATCTACGAGTGTGAATCCACTGGAGGCTCTGAGTGGGTCTTAGAGCAAACTGTTCACCTTGATGACTTTGTCAGACCTTCTTCAACACTGGATCCGAGAGTCAGCGTGGACTCCAACCTTTTTGTCTACAGCAGGTCAGAATGGAACCATTTACTTTTTATTATTCGATACTTTCTGTATCTTACAGACGTGTTTTGCTGGGGTTTTTTTACCCTTCAGGTCTGATTTGTACATGAGCAGAGACCATAGCTCACCCAACATCAAGCACTTCGTCCACCTGGACTGGCTGTCGAAGGAGGACGGCTCCCACATTCTCACAATTGGGGTGGGCTCCAACATCCTCATGTACGGCCGCATCTCTGGCATGGTCAATGAGCCGACCAGCAGCAAAGAGGGGGTGGCAGTAATCACCCTTCCCCTAGGGGGCAGTATCAAACAGGGCATCCGTTCACGCTGGATCCTGCTTCGCGCCATTGACCTCCTGTCGTCTGTGGACGGGACGCCTTCGCTGCCGGTCTCCCTGTCCTGGGTGAGGGACGGCATCCTGGTGGTGGGTATGGACTGTGAAATGCACGTGTACGCCCAGTGGCACCAGGACAAGAAGCCCGGCGAGGGAGAAGAGGGCAACCTGTCATCCGCAGACATCGCCGGAGGTCAGAGCGTGGTTACCTCCTCCGTCTTCGAAGGGAGAGCCAGGTCCAAGAGCGTGTTTGAAGGAAGCACTGGAGTAGACGAGGCGCTCCGCGCCCCCGCAGGCCTACAGGAGGGTGGACTCTTCGAGGCGGCTCATTCTCTCTCCCCAACTCTGCCGCAGTACCACCCAACTCAGCTGCTGGAACTCATGGACTTGGGAAAGGTCAGACGGGCCAAGGTAGGTACCTTTCCGCTCGAAAATGAATGTTCAGAAATAGCTACTTAAAATCTTAACGCGTACGTCTGAATTTGTTCAGGCCATACTTGCCCATCTGGTGAAGTGCATAGCCGGAGAAGTCGCCGTGGTCAGGGATGTGGAGGCAGGTGAAGGCGGATCCAGGAGGCATCTCTCTCGAACAATCAGCGTGACCGGAAGCACGGCAAAGGACACCATAGTGGCCGGCCGAGACGGAGGGAGGGATTACACGGAGATCAACTCCATCCCTCCACTGCCCCTGTACGCCTTGATGTTGGCCGACCTGGACACCTCATTCAAGGGAGCAGAAGAAAGCGCCAAAACGGCTAAGGTTGTTGACGGTGATGCGGCTCAAAAATTCTCAGAAGACCAGTATGCCGATCTCTTCCAGGTGGGCTATCAGAATTACTGTGTCTTCACTGAAGGTGCATTTTGACCTGCAGGTAACTAAAACTGTTTCCTGAATGTTCAAACAGGTGCCAACAGTTACTACTGATGACTTTGTGAACTTTGCTACTGATAAACCAGAGAGAAAGTCTCGAGTCATCAACCTCTCTCAGTATGGGCCCTCTTATTTTGGACCAGAGCATGCTCAGGTAATGCTCACTTTATTGACCTTGCAGTTTCTGTGCAGAATTATTATTTTTTTATTATGTGGCTATATGTAGAGTAAATAATACAGTAATGAAGAGAATTAAGCACATTTTGACGTGTTAATACTTTATTTTGATAATCTCATAATTTAATTACTGTGTGGATTGAAAGCTGGGAGAAACTTGTTCAACAGTTTCCTTCTCTGCACAAAAAGGGGAAAAAAAAATCTATTTTTCAGTTCTCTGTTTCAGTTGTTTTTTTCTTTTTCTTTTTTGTTTGTCTCCAGGTGTTATCCAGCCACCTCATGCACTCGAGCCTCCCGGGACTGACCAGGCTGGAGCAGATGTTTTTGGTGGCCCTGGCCGATACGATTGCTACCACCAGTGCTGAAGTTACGAGCTCCACTGATCAGCAGTACACAGGTTGCTAAAGGCTTTGACTTTACCTGTATCCACTGCTGTTCCTTGTTTTTGTACCTCGACGGTTAACGCATGAGTGAGCATTCTGGCCACAATGTGTTTATTCTACTTTAAATGCTGCTTCAGTTTGATAGTAAAAATTAAAGATCTTATGGTAATTCTGATGCTATCTACCCAACAGCAGCAGGTGTTCTGCTCCTGCATTGATTCTTCTCATTGAGCATTTATATTAATACCAGAGGCGATGTCACACTGTGTGTGTGAGAACAAGCGGTTGCTGTAAAACAAGCTTCTTTTTGAAACGGCGTGATCTGACTTTAAAAACGTAGTTTGGCTGTTATCACTACTAAACACTAAAAACAATCCCAGTGTTTATTCCTCAAAGAATGAAAACTCTTATCTTGACTCTATGCTGGATTTTAGAAATCCAGCATGGGCAGAAACAGACAAAGACTGAAAAGAATAAAAGAAAACCTCTTGTGTTGTGTACTGTAATTTATCTTTGTTGATTTAATTGACATGCTTCCATAGAAAAGAGTTTCAGTTCTAAAAAAGAAAAAAAAAAAAACTGAACCTGGACTGAAAATCTCCAACCTCCCGATTGCTTGGTGCGTCTGTAGCCGTTGACTCCATAAGCTTTTCTAATGTCTGTAAACCTAATATTTCTAACTCTGCCACTGACTGTAGAGCTGTTCAGGCTGAACATAGACACCAGCCTGCATGGTGAAGCAGATGTTTTCTCTTTGAAAACAAACTCAGCCTTTTAAAATGAAACATGACAGAGCTTCTTCTAGCAAAGTAAGTTTTTAGTTTTTCAGTAACGATTGACTTTGAGATTGTAAGAAAAGTATTTCTTAAAATTTTTCTTGGATCACAATAATTAATAATAGACTTTCCTCCAGGATAGCCCATATTTTCATATTTAGGATTATGCAGCCCACATTTAAGCGATGCAGTTTGGCGTTGCCTGTGAAATGCCAAATCAATCATTATGTTTTTTTTTTTTTTTTGGGGGGGGGGGGGGGGGGGGGGGGTTGGCCCGCCTTTTTTTTTTCCCTCACCTTTATTTTTTATCTTTTTAAAA